GCCTGCAGCGTCTTCAACTTCCTATTTTGATATATTCCTAATAACCAGGGTTGGCAAGTAATGCGTTACCTTGTAATTGTAATAACGATTTGATAATGATATTGTGAACTTTTTATGATGGTAATGCTGACATCAGAGTTAGAAATAAGTCAATCGTTTCTTGTAATGGATTGAAAAAGTCATTGGCTATTGAAAAAAATAACTTCTAATTTGTAACGCGTTACTTTTTACTCGTTACTTGTAACTTATTATTTTTTTCAGTAAGTAACGCGTAATGCGACAAATTACTTTTCAAAGTGACTTTTCTAATTTTAGCACAACCTTAAGGTTTAATTAGTTAGCGCAGGGTTGGCAAATACGTCGAATCGCTGTTTTTCACGCATCCACGTCTGTAGATCATTTACCGCAGTGCCACATTTTTTCTGATAAATTAAATTAGTTGTAAAATATCGGAAAAACAATTTTTTATTATGTTACATCTTTAATTTGTATTTTAAATGTTTTTAAACTCTGATATTTTTTTTATGTAGCAATATCTATTGCAATGATATACCTACCTGAAATTTGACTATTTCTTGCAAGACCCACGTCAGTTCACGAGGATTAATCATTCAAAAAATCGTTAGTTATTAACGTTACTTTTTATAGTAAATAATTTGATGACGATGTTGCAATTTTTTATAATACCATTATATCGTATTACGCATATCGCGTAAATGGCTTCGAGTATTAATTATGTGTAACATTTATAACTTTTAATGAAGGTATTAATAGATGTAATTGCGAAGAAATGATTCAAGTATATCGCATACGAATTTGAATTGATATGGCCTATAAACCAAACTAATTGTAAGCATTACAACAATAAGTCTAAAAACAATGACGATAATATTGGTAATTTATAGAGGATGAGCCTGACAAAATGACTTGCTGTGTAGCGATTCTGAAATTCTAATCGAAAATTAGCATTTTAGAATCATAAATAGTTATATAATAAACTATAAATCAAATTATATACGTTAAATATACATTTAGTATCGAGAAAATTCTGTATGAAAATTATCCTTGTATATTTATAGATATTTATAGAAAGCACCAAAAAATAATAATACACAAAAAATTTAAAGCAAGAATGTTTTATAAATGTTTGAATAATCTGTAAGATCGATTTTAACGTAATTGGTAACTAATTCTTGATTCGAGTCCTCTCATAGGTAAACATAAATATTTATTTCACGCTATAGAGAAAATCTCTTTATATGTATATGTACGTATATTTTGAAAGAGGTCGTTTCTGGAGAACATTATTTAGTCAGAAACATTATCATTACCGTCAGTTTGTGAATATCGTGTTGCTGAGCGATATAGAAAGATGATAGAGGCGGAAATCGTTGACATTAAAGTGTACGATGTAAGATTTCCAACATCAATGTGGAAGGTTGGAAATGACTCATTGGTACGCATTGCAATACATTAATTTTCATAATAAAATATTTACGTTGTTTTTTATTTTCGAATTATCGAGAAGCTTGTGTTTAACATAACCGACTTTTAACAGCATATGAATCCCAATCACTCCTGCACATATGTAATAATCCATACTAACACGAAATATAAAGGATACGGCATTACAGCCACTTTGGGAAGAGGAAATGAATTTGGTACGTATTAACTTCTCTCTCTCTCTCTCTCTCTCTCTCTCTCTCTCTCTCTCTCTCTCTCTCTCTCTCTCTCTCGTTTCCATTATATTGATCATAAATTTTATAGTGGTGCAAACATGCAAGCTTCTGTTCAAATTCGTAAAGAAACGAACGACCACAGAAATCTATTCAAATTTTGCATCATTTTGGAGACAGTTGACAACTGACGTGGAACTTCGATGGGTAATGTATATATAATAAAACAAATCATGTGTCTATCAATTATATTAATTAATATATAATGACTCAAGGTATGATTTATATATTTTAGCTAGGAGTGGAATGCGGTGTGGTACACTTAGCTACAGCAGCTATCGTGAACGCTTTGTGGGATCTATGGGCACGTATTGAGGATAAACCCGTCTGGAAGTTGCTGATGGATATGACACCCGAACAACTCGTTTCCACTGTGGATTTTAGATATATGTAAACTAAAACCTGTCATGTGGCGTTGTTTATGCCACAATTGTATTTAAAAATCACACACACGCACACACACACACACACACACACACACATTCGAATATTAATATTTTATATTAAATTGTTATATTAAATATTTGAAATTTCTTACATATTTTTTTTTATTATAGTAGAGATGTGGTAACCGAGGAGGAGGCGATAGAAATGCTTAAGAAAGACCAGTCGCGTAAAGAGGAAAGGAAGAAGATATTAGAAAGTAAAGGACATCCAGCGTATACGGCCGACATCGGATGGTCTTTCGACAATCAAAAACTTAGAAGTGCTTGCAAAAAATTTAAGAAACTAGAATTTAAGGAGTATAAAACATGTGTAGGCCCGACCATCCCCGTGAGCTCGAAGAAGTGTAAACTCATACGAAATGTGGTAGGCAAGCGTAGTGACAAGATATTGATAGTGGACGCGAATCAATGTTGGGACAAGCAAGAAGCAATATCTTCCGTGAAAGGTTTCAATGAATCGCGTCCCTATTGCATAGAAGAACCGACATCTCCCGACGATGTCCTGGGACACATTGCGATACAAGCTGCACTAAAAGAGTTGAAGTACCCAGTGCAAGTGAGTTGCGGCGAAACGTGCGCAAATCGCGTCCTATTCAAGCAATTCTTAAAATTTGGCGGAATCGATTTTTGGAACATTAATGTAGGCAGACTCGGTGGAGTTAATGAAGCCTTAGCTGTATACTTTATGGCAAAAAAGCATTCAAGTAAATTTGTGATAATCATGTTCTTAGATTTTCATCATTTAGAGTGATCTTTTGCTCAGCGAAACGAAATGCGAATTTATTTTATTTATAGTACCAGTGTGGGGGCATGCTGGTGGAGTTGGCTTGGGTGAGATGATTCAACATCTCCAAATATGGAATTTTATTTGCTTAAGTGAATTCACGGATATTAAGATAGAGTACTCTAGTCATCAGCACGGATACTTTGAAGATCCTGTATTCATTAGAAACGCTGCTTACTTACTGCCTAACCGTCCAGGATTTTCAACTCAGCTTAAGGACAAGTGCATTATGCGATGGTCTTACCCGGAAGGTACACGATGGAAATATTTGTTTGTAACAAGACGCTCCAAGAGCAAACTCAGTTATAAAAAAAAATAATGAGTTATACGAAAATACTTTGCTGATACAACTGAGGTAATTGGAATTTTTTAAATTGATATTTTCTGATTTAACATAAAACGCATTTATTTTGAAATAATGTACTCAGTACCCAAAATTGTGTAACATTATTTTATAATGAACATGTAATCTTTAGCAAACTATTATTAAATATTTTTATTCTCACAGTTATTGAATCAAATCTTTAAAACGTAGTTTTCATTTTCTGATTAACTTGTAGTTACACTTAACCCGATGATAATGTAAAAAAAATTGTATTTTTCTAACTATCGTTAATCACTAAATGATTTTGTATTGATAAACTTTTAAAACTAAACTTATAAAATCAGTGAATAATTATAGCTTAAAAAAAATACAATTTTTATTATCAGATTCAAATCTAATCACAAACCAGATAATGAAAAACCGAATCTAGGAGTTATAAAGAAGTGATTTGTCTATCTAGTAGAAAAAGAAAAAAAAAGGAATCTTAGACTTATATGAATCGAACGCTTTTTTGATTGCATTACTTTTTAATTTAAAATATATATAAACTGTACATATATATATATTTATATATTTATAAGTAGTATATATCTATATGTATATTTTTATGTAATGTAATTAATGTGAACATGATAAATTAATAATGTGTGTAACATATTTATATAAGTGGCAGTTGAGCTGAGGGAATCTTAAATTTTTCTAAGAAACTGTTAAAAGCCGTATCTATCTATTCCGTAAATATTTACCATCTTATCCATCATGGAAAACTCATCTCTTTTTTTATCCCTCTTTCGTTAATAGAACAAATGAAACGGAAAACTTGATAACACAAAAATTAAAGACCTTAATCATTATCAGTCCATTATGTTTTAAATTATTAGCGCATAAGTTCTCATGAAACTCTTCATGTCACAATACCGTCGAACTACAGTAGCCAAAATGCTGTTGTACGAATAGACACGAGTTGTTTCTGTTTTCAAACTACTGACGCGCTTTAATTAACTTTGCTCAACATAAATAAATAAAATGCGCTTGCTAATTTCGTGTGAAATAAAACATGGAGACACAACTCATCAAGAAAATAGAATCGTATGTCCTTTAAATTGCAATAAATTTTGTTCTTATATCATTTCGTTTCAGCCATTCGCATATTATAACAAATGTCGCTTTTCTCATTACGTATTCAAATTTTGTGGATAGTACTAAATAATATATACGCTCTCATCCCTATCGACACATGCTCACGAATGTATCCTCATTATGCGAAATCATTAAAAGGGGAGGGAGAAAAAAAACTTGAGAATTCATTTGTGAAATCTAATGTAACATTTAGTAATGATGGAAAACGCGAGATTGGAATTTAAAAAGTCTTCGGAAAATCAATGCTATAATCTCCTACTGTCAATTGACGAATGGCATTACTTTTTTTGTATGACTTCGCTTAACAAGAATACATACTGTCATCCATTGCAATATCCTCATCTAACACTTCATAGGTGACTTACGTGCTAAAAGTAGTTTTCGTTGGGGCACCCCCCTCGGTCTCTGTACAGTGTGCTCTTTTTATAAATAACTCTTATAAATTAGTATAATCTACGTTTCTTGTTCCGACGATAAAAAAATCATACAATGTACACACATGCTTGTTTACGGCGATCCATTTTTAATACTGCGGGTAAATCTTCGTTCTTCGCTATCATAGATGTGTGTTTTCGTAATGACATTCTCTTTCCGATCGGTATCTAATCTCTCAGAATGCCGCCCGCGCGTGTTTGCTTAAAGAGTTGTTTGAGGAGCTGCCGCGAATCGAAAAGTTCGGAGCAAGTTAACTTAATACTCTAGTAAAGAGGTAAGTTTCAACTGCCCGGATAAGGCATTTGATCTGGAAGGGCGGATGAGTGATTCTGGTTAGGGCTCTGATGGAAATGTGGACTGGTACCATCCTGCGAGATATCACCGACGACGGGTTCCTCGTATTTGCCCCTCTTGAAGCGTCCGTATAGTGACGAATACGGCAGATTATAATGGATTGCCGCTTGATTTATGCTCATGTGTCCTAATCTGTAACAGTAAATTCAGGAGTAATGTAAATATTTATTTTGTATTAGAAATTTGCATCAGTCATACAAGTTCCATTCATTCTGTGTTCAATAAAAAATCGAAACTTGACAAAAGAATTAAAAATCTTTTACAAATATCTTAAACTTCCAAGGTGTATATAATAAATAAAGATTTATACACTGTGCTCTATAAAACTAAAATTTTACAAAGAAATTAGAATCTTTTGCAAATATTTTAAATTTTCAAGATATAGGTATACAATAAATAAAATATACGAAATAAATTTAATTTAATCCACACTAATTATTAATGTTTTCTCATGTTGAATCAGTGAAGTATATCGATCTATCTGTAATACGATTTTATTGAACGTCAAGGTAGAGTCAAGGTAGAGAAGAGTCATTTATTGATACCTGACGGCCTCGAGAGCTTCAGTCATAGCATCTTCGCTCCATGGCGTAGGATTGCTTCTACTAAGCTCGATTCCTTCCCGCTTGCATCTTCCGTAAAGAGTCCCCGTAGGTATACCGAATTCCGTTGACGCTCTCTGTACGGACGTCTGACCAGATCTTATTGCTTCTAAAGCGCGATCCAGATCGGAGGGTGTCCATGTAGTGGGACTCGCGTTGAACGGTGCGGCTAATCTGATACCTTCCCTCCTGGCGATCTTATACAACGTGCTAGAAGGTATGCCATATGCTTTGGACGCCTTGTTAGCCGAAATGGAACCGGTACGCAACGCTTCTAAGGCATTGTTCAAACTCTCGTCGCTCCAGGATTTCGTGGGGCCGTCTTTTTTCGGTGTGTCGATGCCCAATCGATGCGCTCGTTGCCATAGTGTCGTTGAGGGAATACCGAATGTTGCTGAAATATTAATAAAATTTCACATTTAATTTTATTTCATGTATGATATCATTCATTACTATGAGCTAAATTTTTTAAATTAGATTTCCGCACTTATGTAATCTTTTTAGCTTTACACAAGTCATTATGCATGTAATTATACACGTTAAATTACATTGGCTAATGCAATCAATAGTCAACGACCATTACTCACAGAAATTTTAGCTCTACACACACACACACACACACACACACACACACACATATATATATATAAATAATTCGGAATATATCTTTCTTCTTACCCGAAGCTTTTGTCAAGCTCATGTTGTGATTCCTTAGCGCTTCTAAAGCCGCGTCCATATCCTCCTGCGTCCACGACTTCGAACCGTGATGGTGCGAGCTGGACTGTCCGCTGTGCCCCCTAGAGTTATTCTCACCCGAGTCTGACTGACCGGAGCTTCCCGATGGCATCAGTCCCAATAGCTCCGGTGTTATCATCATCATGTTGTCGCTGTCGGCGGCATTTTTCGAGCTTACGCTCGCCCGATCCGACATGTGGCTATCTATGTCGATCGTGTCCGAGGAGTCCATCGTGTGCAGCGTTTCGAACTTGATCTTGACGCTGTCGCAATTCTGAATCTCTGCGAACAGATCGCGGGAAACAGGCATGACACGACTCTGCTGTTGGCGCTTTGCACCGAGGAAACTCGGCAACAACTTTCGCGACAGTATACGTATATCTTCGCCGTGGGACTCACGAAAGTTACTCGGTAAGCCTCGATGGTACCTGAGGATCGATAAGCGAGCGCTGTCGAAGGCGAAACTGGACGCGGAAGGACGCTAAATGAGGTTGCGTGGGCTGCTGCTACGGACCGAGCAACGCAAATCTAATCGCGACCAGTTAAGCGTGATTAGGCCAATTATTTTGATTCCCTGTCCGCCTAATGACCGGCTGTACTTTCAACCCGGTAGTGTTCTACCCCTCGCCGCGCCCTCACGTCCGAGGGAAATGTACGACGTTGAATGGACCGAGTAAACGGGAAACTCCTATCACGCGATAGGTCAAACAAGACACGATGATCATCTATACTATTAAAATTGAATATATTTGGTCATTGAAGTATAATATATAGCCTTCGCGAAAGTGACGTACGTTCTAAGTCGCGCAAAGCTAATAAGAAATCTTGCGGAGAAATATTTTTAATTTAACACGTTTCATGCCAGCGAATAAGTTTGACTATCACGTTGATGACCCACGATATTTTGTTTGCTACGTTTGTTAAATAACATGTATTTCATAATAATTTAAAAAATTACAAAAATTATTGTAAAAAGATGATCTAATGTACACCATGTACTGCATCATATATTATGAGTCTAATGTACCAGATTGCATCATGTATCATAATTATGAATCCACGTATGATAAACAATCATTCTATAATTACGTTTTTTTTATAGTCGAAACATCAAACGGTCTGAGTGGAAAGTCAAGCGTGGGTCATTGGTGATCCATGTGGTATGGAACGCGTTAAAAGGCCAACTTGTTAGTGCAGTAAAATTGACACAATTAAACAAATTACTTTTATAATCTTTTTATTCTTTACCAAAAAAATTTCTCGATTGACCTGCACATATGTTTACTAAACGTTATCCTCTTGAAATTGTATTGTAAATTGTTATCATCTTGGAAATTATATTTTTACTGCATTTGCGTGCTAAAAAAAGGGTCCTTTATACTTTTTAAAATATGCATATCATTCTCTCGTTTATTATCTCTTTCATAACGAAGAAGCATCTCATGATATCTTTTCGCAACCAAGTCCGCTTAGTTTCGTAACTATATCTGGTCCAGTTTCATTTTGTACTGTTCATTAGCAAAAATCGATTTAAAAAAAGAATCCCTATGAATTTACAAGGATTAAAAACGATTATTTTATTTCGTTTTATTTTCATGTACAATTGTGGCAATCATCGTCGAGAACCGCTATTTTCGAGGTACGAAACGGTATTTGAGAAACGTAAAATTTTATACCTGTAGAATGATGATCCGGATCCCTCAAGTGGGTGATGGTAGTGCCGACCAGGGTGGCGCTGGGTGGGGTGGGTTGAGTCTCGGGGGGCAAATCGACCTCTCCGGGATCCGGATGGTGGCCATAATGCCCTAGCCCTGTGTGACAGAACATGTCACCTTTTTATTCGACGTGAAAGGGATCCATCCAAATCGATCTTGAAAACAGTAAATCGCCCCACACCTGGAAACCTCCGAATAATCGCGACGCAAGTGTCTTCTTGTCTTTTTTTTTTAATTTTGACCATAAGTTATTTATTTACTGAAACGCAAAATGCAATGCACATATTATATGAGATATATTATTTTAAAACGTATAATGTGTGTGTTGACACACATAGTGTCTATATATATATATATATATATATATATGTATGTATGTATATGATACATATTATTTAATAAAATTGTAATAAACGAATAGAATTGAAAATTAATACTACAATTTTCATCAAAATAAAAAGGCTCTACAAAATTTACGTTTCATGAAAAATAGACAAAGAAAAAGAAATAAAGTCCGACATATATCCAGGTGTGGGGCAAAAATCTCGATTGATCTACTTACTATTGTTACTCGTGCCGTTACCGTTGTTGTTGTTATTGTTATTATTATTACGTTGGCAAGTTTCCAATGCTACTGCTGCTGTTGCTGTCTCCGTGCACTCTTCATCTTCAGCCTGCCAGTCCCGATGGTTCTGTGGAATATCCGGTACGAATTTAGCGTCGACCCTGACGAGATCGAACCGTGCGCCCGCCAACACGGGAGAACCATTGCGTTTGTACCTATGCCTCACTTCGTCTTTTCAACGCGTTGCAAGATCAATTTTCTACTACTGTTAAATTCAAATAGACTACCTACTGCGATAATTCTTTCATATATAATATAAACGTATTTCTTATAATTAGTATAATTTACAATTAAAAAAAATGTTTATTGAGCTCACATAAGAGTTTCTATCAAGAATTAAATATCAAATGACGCTCTGCGTTAACGGATTAATCTAATAAATGACGTCTAGTTACGTAATTAACTTAAGAAAATTTCCTAAAAATCTTAGAATTGCTATCATATATAAATAATCCTTCGCCGATCAAGTTGGACTTTAAAGGCATAGTTAATACTTTGTGATCTATTTGTTAGATAAATTTAAATTTGTAAAAGTATATACAACTTGACTTAAAAAAATTCATTGTTGAAGCTTTCGCAAGCGTGCAAGAATTTTTTCAGATTTTTGTACAGTTTAAAACAACTGATAAAAATCTGCACTAAAGCACAAAGATCCAGATTGTTGACATAAGGTGCAAAATTTCACATGGTTACGACGGAGGAATAATTATAAACGCCAAACATTCTTTGCGATGTTCATAAAACATTATTTAGAATTAAGCCTTGATAATTTGAGTACTGCCACGGTAGCTGCAGAGGATTGAAAAACTTGGTTACTCTCTAAATTTCAATAAGAAGTGGTGAAATTCACCTGAAAAAGTAAAATTCATAGTGAAATTCAATCGAAAAAGAAAAGAAGTTTGGGCATAATATAATTTCAGTATCGATTTGCATGTGAATTCCAACATCATACAGATTGAATTTACAAACAAAAGTAAGGTTAGCTACTCTCTAAATTTTTGAGAATGAATTCTCACTCTAAAGAATGAAGATTGAGCTAACCTTGAAAAAGAGTGACTCAGTTTTCAATCTTTAAGAGTGAAATTTTACTCTTTAGAGTAAGATTTATTCTAAATGTTTTTAGAGACTAGGTTAGGAATTTTAAGTTTTTTATTGATTTTTTAGTCGAATTTCACTGTGAATTCACTGATGTGCTAAATGGCATATTTAGGATATCAACGATTATCCACTGATTCAGATTTAAAGAGTGTGTCTGTTAGCTCGATGAAATTACCTCTTTGTTGTCACGGCTGTAATCGTTAGCCTCTTCTTCTTTGTAGCGATCGTAGTGTCTCGGATCGGTAGGACGCGACTCGAATGTGGGCCGCTCGATTCTGGGTCTCTTGTATCTCTGATGGTGCTTCTTCAGCTTCGTATAGTTCAACCTCGGGGTGCCGGACTCTCTCGGCGGCGAGCTCAGACTCACGGGTGGCGGACCGTCCCTGTTCTCCGGCACCTCGCACAGGCCCTTGATCTTTAGCTGGTCGGCCGTCTTCAAGAGCGACTGTGGAAGAAAGGGAAAACATTATAGATCGCTAAATCGGCGTGTAACTTTAAAAGTAACGTATCGCATTTAAGAGTGACGTTATCCACGTAATTTAAGAAATTAACGAGGAACACACGCACTTGTGTGTGTGATTAATAACATAATTTTTGAAACCATTAGACATGTTTCTTTAAAATTAATTAAAATATTATCTAAATTATTAAAATATATATTCTCTGAAATGTTTAGAGTGAATCTCACTCATAAGTGTGACTTTTCATTTTCTGATTAACCTGTGGTTAGGCTTAACCTAATGATAATGTAAAAATGATATTTTTTTTAGCTATCGTTAAGGTGGTTCTTTAGTAAAGTGCCGAAAATTTGAAGTGCCTCGCCAGGACCCACCTAAAATTACAAATATCTGCATAATTTGGCTAAAGTATTAAAACTATTATAAAATTGACGATTCTGTAACTTTTACAGTTATTACACACACACGCGCACACTATAAAACTATTAGTTCAGTAATTAATCATAGCTTAGAAAAATACAATTTTTTATGTTTAAGCTAAGAGAGGTTAGCTAAACCACAAGTTATAATCAGATGATGAAAAATCGGGCCTTCAGGATTAAAAATTGAGTCACTCTTTTTCAAGACTGACTCAATTTTCACTCTTTAGAGTAAAATTTCACTCTAAAGAATCGAAAGAGGGTATGTCTTATTGTTAGTTAATGTCTAAACAACGCGTTTATTTATATATATTTATTACGTGAGCTTTTATATCAGAAATTATCGTCGAGAGTCTAAAAGATTGACGTTTGTAAGTTAGCGTCTACCGCGTGGAGGAATCGCCACACGTTCGCCACGAGCGAGCAATTAATTCGTTAATTAACGGGATCGTATAATCGAGGTGGGCCGTGTACGGAAACGCGCGCGGAAACGCCGCGTTCGAGAATCAAGGCGCGGACGCGGAATAGAAAAATACTCATTTCGGTAAACCGCTTTGCGAGAGGCGGACCGCGCGGGTCCGGTCCGATTGGATTTGCATATTTCTCGCGCGAGAGCTCGTCGT